CTGCCCCTCCGGCAGGCTACCCTGCTCAGGCTGCTGCCCCTGCAGGTTACACTGCGCCGCCTGCTTATGGCTTCAACATGTAGAGGCCTGACTCTGCCTCTTCTACCCCTCTCTACCTTATACAGTCACACACCTTAGACCTGAACCACACTGAACCATGCTGCTGTGGGTCTCACTGGCCTCCTGATGGCGCCAAGACTCACAAAACTTCCTGGCCCTTCATCTCCCGATGAGACTCCACCCGAGTTGCAATAGAAACCCTTCATCTCTGCTTCTCTGCTCTCTCCATACACACTTCAGAAGTGCTGCATCGGGTTTGTTGGACTGTCCCCTTCCTTCACGTTAAAACTGCATCACCGATGTACACAGCATGAAGTAGCCTCTCAGCTTCTAGAGGAATTAACCGAAGACATCAGCGACACCAAACCACTCTGTCCTGTTGCTGTTCCACGTAGACCGTACTAACCATAGAGCAGCTTTTTCCCCATTGTTTTATGTCCTTCTTTCTTTGAGGTTCCACACTGATGAGGAAGAGACTTTGTTACTGAGGAGTGGAGGGATGTGTGTTCATCTCCCCCTCCCTTGTAAAGCAATGCTACAGCCTTATATACTTTGAAGAGGTGGCCATAAAACAGGCTAATTTGTCCATGTTTAATTTCACAGCTGTCTCAAACAGTGGCAGTTGCAGTGCAATAGTTTTGTTCTTTCACAACAGGTACAAAGTGTTTGCTGTATGCAGACTAAGAACACTTGTTTATGAGGTTACGGTACAGTTTGTGTGTGGGTAGCCTCTAAAGCCTTTGAGAGATACATCACCAAACCCAGAGACACTAAAATGTCCACTCCCTTGCAGCAGCAAACCTTTTGCTGGGCCAGAGCAGTTGATCTCTTCAACTGGCTTTCGGACTCTGATAGCAGACATCTGGAGTTTCAGGATGATTTAGATGAAAAGAAAGGAAGGTGGTGAAAGAATTAAAAAAAAAAATGCTATATGCTGTAGTCACTGCATGTGCTGCCAAACTATAATGCTGCAAACAGGAGCACAATTTTCATGTTACACTCAAGTATATCAAATATTACTAATGTTGTGTCAAAAATGAAGTGATGTTCAGTGAAACCTTCTCACCTAATAAACAGTGAAGTTCCAGCAGACTGGAAAAAAGTCATTATTGCACTGAAAACCATATATAATTTAAGATACTTTTGAATTACCATATGTATTGTCTATAGTGTGTTGTTATAGTCTAGTCTTTAAAAGTATAAAGATTTTTGTAAGAAAATGATAAAATGCAGAAATGGCAACAACTTGGGGCAAGGCTGCACGAAGTGGGGCCCGTTTGGTTAATTGTTTGTCCTGTGCTGTCCCACAGACCCTGTATGATACACCCAGTTGTGTCCCACTGTGGTATCCACTTATGAGTTGTCAAAGCAGAAAGCAAAAACCTGAGTGCCACATGAAACACTTTATCTGCACAGGTCATGCATACAGATTGAGGAATAAAGTTTACACACTGCTGTTTGTGAGTTATTTCCCATTTATTTAGGTAAAAGCTCCCTAGTGCGCTAGGCTCTTATGTGTGTGTATTTATGGGGGTTGTGTGTGTTGGGGGGCGGGTAAGCTCAGCTGTGAGCGTGGTTTATGCCTGGGCTATTCAATTCCACGTGTATTTCCATCTTTTGCTCGATCCAGACTGACATGTTGGTAACCATGCTGCCAAGACTTGATTGATGGTTTCTGGCTCTGTAAGAGCAGTAGCCTCTCTGGAAAGGGTGTGGTTTGGATCTATTGCTGCCTGCTGCTCGGGGAAATGTTTAAGGTTGTTGTATTTAAAGATGAGGGGAACCCGTATTTAATTCTTCCTGCTGGCTGAGATATATTCTTAACGCCAAGAGACTTTGCGCCACGCCCTTCTTCTGTTACGGAACAAGCGTGTCCGGTTCCCCCTCCATAAAGGATAAGCACCCAGTGTGACGTTCAGTGAGTCCTGTCACACAGCAGGCTCTGTGGTTAAGCTCACTCGCTTTATGGTAAAATTGCTGCCAAGTTTCACGGGCACAGGATAGGCTACAGGATACAACTGTTTTCCGCCCCTCCTTGCTTCCGGTTTGCTTTGCTCTATTGCGTATTATTGTCGTGACACAGCGTTACCATGGTTACAAATAACAGATATTAGATTATATAGAAGATCCCAACTTTCTAGAGAGCCCTAGTATTTGCCCACGGTCAACACGACGAACCGCTGGAGTCTCTGGGACGCATCGGAGATCACCAACCTCTCCAGTAAAGCGCACCGGACAGCAGCCGTACATGTGTTCCGCGCTCTAGTCCCCTTGAAAACAAATCGCAGGCCACCTACTTAGAGATCAACATCATTAGAGCCAAAGCTTTTTGTAGATTTTGTTGTGTCTTTTCCCGGTAATTATGCAGGATAAAGGCACATTTATCAACCCTTTTCCGCGACCGCGGTGTGTGGCGGCAGCGGCGCCGGCGGGGAAAGCGAAATTAACTCATCCAGGAAAGGCGATTCTGGCAGGTAAGTACTTTAAGATATGGAAAAATAAAAGCTCGATAGAATGTTTTTCGTTACGACAGTTACAATGATGCCAAAGTTTAGTAAAATAGCATTACTGGTTTCAGATACTTTGTTAAATCACGTTGCTGGCGCGCAGCGGAGTGAAGCTGGTATAGCACTTGGTTAAACAGCCTAGTGGAGACTGGAGAGGTAGAGACAAAATAATCACTTCTACAACCCCTCAGCTCAATAAAACTTCCGGCACTGTAGTTATGTCGTAAGAGGAAAGACACAAGGCCATTACTTATTCCTTACTACCGAGAAGCACTTATCCTGTAGCTGGAAACTCAAACAGTAGGCTATATAAAATAAATGCCTGATTGATTACTTTCATCCAAAACAAGGTTTCTGTAGCATATAATTGTTTTTGTGCTGCCTTTTTTGTTTGGTCGTACATTACAGTTATTGTTATTGATATTATTACTTTTTTCTTGAACACTGAAAGGACTTTACATCCATGTTGGCTTTAAAATTCATTGTGACCGAAAAGAGTCTGATCAGTTGAACAGACCTTGTGGTGTGACTGTTTCTTTGGCCTTCAATGTCATCCTGTCAGTTTGTGGTATTTGTGGAACAGAAAATATTTGTTTATTCTCTCCCCTCAATTCTTCATTCAGTGGGCTGTAACTAATTATTGTTTCAACTATTGATCAGTGATCATGGATTAGATTTGGAATATTGGGTTAATCTTCTAGTCAAATAAGACGGGACTGCAGAAAAATGTCTAGGACAAAAGAAAAACAGCAGCCAACAGTCGAAAATCTCTAAATGATCTGAATAAAACTGAATTAAAACATATTTGCAGTAAAGTGACTGGGAAGAAGGGGTCTGGTATTTTTCCTTGACAAATTACTGATTCGGTCAATTGGTCATCTTTATTTTAACAGATCGATTGTCTGATTGGCTCAGCACTTCTTCAGTCATGTTTGTCTTAGCCTTTTCTGTGAGGCATCAGTTTATCCCTGCTGGGATTCAGAAACCCCCATTCAACTCTCCTGCTGCTCCACCCCACACCTTCCTCGAAAACCCCTCAACCCCCTCCTGTGATGATGATCAGGGTACAGCAGCTCCACTTGATGAAGAGGCTTTCTGAGGTGCTTTTCTGATATTTGGCCACAGTCTGTTACTTCCACTGTTGTGCTCTGGCAGCAGTTGCATGCTGAGTATGTTATAGTTCAGAATTCTTTTTTGATTGAAGATTAAAAGCAACCTGTTTTAGGGCTAACTTGTGCTATACATACAGCGGCACTGGTGCCAGCAGCTGTAAATTACAAAAAAGAGCTTCAAACATACCCAGCTGGAAGAAAGTGCAACATAAATGAACACGCATTCTTCAAGGATACTCCAGATTCACATATGACTTATGTAACAAATTTTAACATGGATGGTTAAAACAGTAGAAGAAAAATTTCCTATCCTTACTCATGTCCTCCCTGTCAGTTGCTGGAAACGGAAATGTGGCCCTGATACGACCTTTCCCTTCCCCCATCAGTCCCGTGCAGCCTGATTGACTGGATGTGGCTCACTGTTGCACCCTTTTCCCTCCCTGAGTCATTTAACTTGTCTCAGGCCTGTCGGTCTAGTTCTGCAACAGCAGCACGATTTCATGCTCTCTGTCTCAGCTCCATGAGCCCTCTCACTTCTCCCGGCCTTACTGTCAAGCTACCATCCATTTAGCGCTGTCTTCCAGAGGTTAGGAAATGAGCATCACTAGAATGACTCAGCAATAGATAAACTGTCTTTCTGAGTTTGATCTGAGATATTCTCAGAAACCACAGCCGATTGCTGACATTGTCTGGATTTTTATTCTTCTCCCTCAGCTACGGCACTTCACACCTCTTCTGGTGTTCTGACACGCTAATGCTACTTTAGATTAATCTGTTATGGTTAGCAATTGTGTCTATGTAGAGAGAGTGAGTCTACATGCCTGGAGGCTCTTAGGTAGACACAGCAAGGAGTAGAAGGTCAAAGCTTAATGGATTAGAGAGCTCACACAGCCTCTGGTTGGGGAGGAGGGATGCACATTGCACATTTCCTGAGCTTTTAGTGGCCTGTGAGCTCTGTCTGCTCACAGCAGCCGCTGGTGATGACTGGAGTTGAAACACAGGAGTGAGAGTTTTCTCTGTGTGAGTCCTGGGGGGTGAGAATGTCTAAATGGGTCTCTGGTCCTGATTTGCTGGCTGCTGTGCATTCATACACCACTGTGGCTTCCATTCATAACCCTTTTGCTCAGGATAGAGTAGAGTCAGTGCAGCAGAGGGATGGACAGGCAGACATTTTTTGTCTGGATTTCATGAGAGACTGGATTTTCCACTAAGACAGGCTGGGTTTTTTTGTAACTTTTCCTGTTCTCATTTCTCCCTTTTCCTCTCTCTCTCCAGCCTCAGGGCAGCCAGTTAGGTTTTGTGAGTGGCTGTCTTCTCTCAGGCTCAGAGGGCTCATCAAACTGTGGCTTACTCCTCCATTTCTGTGCGTCACAGGCAATGCATAGTCAACTCCCATCTACTGTTTCTGTTGCTTGCAGTTCCCGAGTACCAGGAGGCAAGATAATAAATCACAGTGCACTCAGTTGAACTGCCAACCACCTCCACTGTAAGCATGTCAGCTAGATGCTGGTATAATGCCTTCATGGACAGACAAAGACCAAGGTAGAAATGATCACTGAAATTTACCAACATATGACATACAGCTTAGGTTTCCTGTTATTATTCTTCATATGTGTGAGCGTCTTGGAGATTAATTTTACTGTGGACATGTACACAGGCCCACAGTGCTGGTTTTGCATGTATCTCCTCAATTATAGAACACATATGCTAAACATTTACCATTTTCTTTAACATGCCTTCAGTATTTAGAACGATTTTTGGTCAGAGATGAACTTGCACAGAGTTGAAACCTATTTGAGAAATCAGTCAAGTGAACATTTGTTACCTATTCATCAAAGTTATGTAATCACAGCATGGTAATTCATTTTCAAGTAATTACCTTGTCTTCATAAAAACATCCTGAACTTGAAAAATGGTTGCTGAACAACGATCTCTTAAAATCCATGAACATGTATTTTCTCAATCAGCTTCTTCCTATGAGTTATGGGATTGTGTAGTCCTGAGGGAAATATCTGGCTCTGTGGCTGCTAAATGATCCACTGTGCTCACCAGCTAGTTGCTAACTTTTGTTTGAAGTGATAGCATGTTGATTTTAAATCATTTTCACAACAGCTGTGTCCTGCATCTGGAAACCACACTGTAAAACCAAAACACTGAGCTGAAAGAAGCTAAAATTTTGTGTGGAGGTGAGGAGAACTGCATAGCTATTTTCAGCACTCCCCATACAGAGACTAAAACCAGCAATGAATTGCCTATACTCACGGTTAATGTCTGTCAGCCTCCAACCTGGTTTAGCTTATTCATCTGTGCCATAGACCGCCATTGTTATAACGAACAAACATATCTCCCAGTGCAGAAGTGCGTTTCACTGATGTGTTTTTAATCATTTTTGAGTAACAATCGAGGTTTGTGGCACAGACATATAAGATAATCCAGGTTGGAGACTGGCAGACATTAACCATGAAAAGAGGCAAATCACTGTTGATCTTAGTCTTGCTGAAAACACTGTGGTGAACTTTGAGGCAGGAGACAGTGATCTCAGTCTTGTTGCAAATCCTGTGCCCCATATGCAGCATGACCACCAGGACAGCACCTTTATTCATCAACTCACAAAACACACTTTCATAAACACAGTGGGCTAATTGCCATAGGAGTCACAATAAGGGTGGTCCATGTCTAGCTAGCCACACACTTCCTGGCATCATCTCACTAACCTATATCAACACACAGTGTAACCGCAGTAACACTAACACTATTAAATGATCAGTGACACTTACCTGCTAACAGTCCCACAAGTCCCTGTGCCAACAGTGCTATGGTCCCAGAGCCCTTTCCTCCAGGGGTCACTACAGTGCTATTAATATAGAAAATGACAGACTTTATCCTTTAACAAACATACAGTAAGTAATGTAAGGAGCCTGACAGCCTTGTCTACAACTGTGTTGTTCTGTTCATGGAAATCAGTGTTAAGTCTGCATGCTGCAGGGTCGTAAGCAGTTAAAACAGTTCCCATGTAAAATTAATCCACATCCCCCCTGTAATTAAGCATTAGTGGAGCATTAGGCAGTGTTGTTCAGGACAGAGGAAGCCTAAAAGGCCAGACATCAGATGAATAATTCTTTTCATGTTTTGCACAAGGCAAACTAAAATATTACAGCTCTATTGTTAGGATACCTCATGTTTGAAGTACATCAGGCCTCTGGCTGTGCTTTCGCTCAGACTCCAGAGAATTTAAAGTGCGAGTTAGTAATCTAAATAACGAACATCAGGATGAATAATAGATGACTTCTGCTGCAACACTGCTTATTCATTAGTTTAAAAAAAAATCCATAACATCTCAACAGGACAGAAATCTAAAGCATCTAGCTGTGCTGCTAATTAAATATGTTTATTTAGAAGGAGATCAAATATGTTTAGAAGCTCCCACATTAAAAGACCCTGTTTCACAGATGTGTTGGGTGCTCATTAGAGTCACCAAACCATACAGGACAGGATTTCAGAAACTGTTCCTCCCTGTCAGCTGGCTGTCCTCCTGCTCACCTGGCTTCCCCTGTGCCTCTCTCTGTTCCACAAAAAAAAATAGGCTGTGAGTTTGTGTTTGTGTGCATCTTGCACTCATGGTTATGCGTGTGTTTGCAGTAGATACTGTCTTCTATGTGTTATACATGTTCAGATAACTCATCAACAAATAATTGGACAATATTTTAATAGTTTAAGGTCACTTTTGAGTCCAAATGGTACAGATTAGTAAACAGCATGAATATATGTGGGACTTGGTGCTGCTAGGTTTGGGCTTTGCTTGAACAGAAGATGTTTGACACACTGTCTGACCTTGACAGTAACCAATGGTGTTAACAGTAGTTTGAAACAGAGTTAAAAGTCAGCTGTCTTAACGTTGGATTTGATATTGGATAAAGGCTTTCTGAAGGTATCTGGCCATCTGACAAGCGGTTCTAATCAATGGTATAGAGGGGGGGACTGTTTAGAAAAGACTTTTTCTTGTTTCACATTGTGCACAAAGAGAAGTAAGTGCAGCATATTAAGCCTCATCATTCTGGGATGAGATATTTCCAAGTGACTCCTTAATTTTGGCCATGCAGTGTGTTGCAGCAATGCAAGCTGGAGCCCAGCTGTTATGTTTGAGGGTTGTTGATAAACTTATAAATCTACCTTGTCCAGCCAGAAACAACTTAGTCTTTGACTGATTTATTCAACTGCTGTTTAGCATTTGGAAGCTATTATGCGTCTGTAGAAGCTGATTGTTATCAGGCACTACGCTATTTTTCACCGCCTCTAGGTTCCGAATATCACTCCAGTGCTGTTCCCATTTCTTTTCTTGTAATAAGTGTCATAGATCTATGTGGATGGATTGATTTTATGACACGGTGTGGAGAAGAGTAGTTGGGGATGTGGAGAGAGGGGAGGAAGGTGGTGCTAAGAGAAAAATTAAAAACAAGAGGAGAGCAAGCCAGTGAAGATTAATGGACAGTATTGCTCATATAACCCACGCTTGGCAGCGACACATAAGTCATTTAAGATGTCATCTGTAAACGCGTGTGTGTGTTGGATGTAGGCTGCAAAATGGACTAGAAGACAAACAAGCTGCTGCTCATCCAGAGGCGCTGTGTGTCTGATGAGGATTGATTTGGTGTATCTGTTGCCGAGTTGCACATGAGTGACTGCTTGTTGTTTTCTATGTGCAGCTCTTTCTGGGCTGAAAACAGGTGAATGAAGTTTATTGTTCTTCCTCAGGACACACTGACCCACTGATCCCAGATTAGTGTTTAAGGCTCATGTGATTTTTGTTACATCTCAGCTGGCCAGGATTTACTTATTACTCACACAGGATTGGAACAATTACAGCTCTGGTGGTTAAAGTTTTTGTGTGTGTCACTGAGAGTGTGCATGAGATCACATTGATGTCATGATTCAGCTTAGTGGTGCTGACAGTTTGTATGAATAGTGCTGATTAGGGGAGTCCAGGTGTAATTAATGAGAGGGTTGTAAAGGCTAAATTATCATAGAATTGACTTACTACTGCTGTGCTATTAACAGCCTGCTCTAGATCACATTACAAAGTAAAATCCTGTTCATCAAACTGAATAAAATAAATGGTTATATGATGTTTTATTAGACCAAAATATGATGTGATATAAGCTATACATATTTACAGCTGTATTTACTAAGGCCATTACACATTTTGTTGTATATTTTGACTTATTACTTATTTAATGTGATGTCATGTGACTCAAAATATTTCAGAATTAGGATGTTCTGTTCTGCGGCCTGTGTGGATACTTGGTCCCACATTATTTGTTATAACTTGTATACGTTTTTATTAAGTAGAGGCGACGTTTCTGACTTTGAAAAGTTGTATTATTATTATTATCATGAAAGACAGTGAGTATCCCACAGATCATACCAACACACAACACTTTTCAGATAGATTGTCTACTTTTTCTACATACAAAAACTTAAGCAATATGAATAATTTAAGGGCTGTTGTAATCACATACATATTTTACATATGCATGTTTCTTCCAAGAAACAAAGAACCACTTTGAGTCAGATTTGGACTTTTCATGTGAATAAAATGTCTTTCAGTTTTTGGCTTCCCATTCATTGGTTTGTTGTTTCTTTGTAAATTGTTTTTGTTACAAATACATGTCATGTACAGTAAAAAGTACCTCATAATTAACCAAAAAAGAGTTTTAGATTATCGATTTATTTTGTCTGTTTAGGACGAATGTCTCTATTTTTCTATGTAAGTACATGATATGTGTGTCTCCACTGAACAGTGTACATGTGTGTGTCTGTGTCACTGAGTTAATGCTAGGTCTTGGCCCGGGTAATGGAGCCCCTCCCTGCAGGCTGAGCAGATAATTTAATTAAAGTCAGCCCTCTCTCCATTCTCCCTCCTCCCCTTGTGACTCATCTCTGTTGTGCACATTAGCTCTGCTGCTCAGCACTTGTCCTTGTCTGCTCAGCTGTGACAGGTTTTGAGCTGAACCCTTCAGCATTCACTCACATGTTCATTTATTCAGTTTTAGTTTTCAGTTTCATTCTACATATTTTCCTTTCTGCAAACACACGAGTGCATGATGCAGAAATTGGTCCAGTATTTAAGGGGCAGCTGCATTTCCTCACACAGCCTTCTCTTGTGTTGACTTTGTGTTCATTCCTCACCCAGTACAGTGGCTGTGCAGTTTGGCCATGGCAGGAATAGTTGATTCATCTTCACCCAGCTCATTACTCTGCCTCCCCCAGCAGCAATGCTTTTAATGTTTATTGAGGGAAAGCCATTTATGGAGTCACTGTAATGATCCATGATGTAATAGCACCTCCTTGTATTTCATAAGGTAGATGTGGCGCTCAGTCGGGCTTTAGCCAGACAGGCATGACGAGCTAAGTTCAGGCAATATGTCAACAAAGCTGCCCACAGAGAGAACTTTATTTTCATTTCCCAGGGCTCATTTTTAAACTGGATCCAATTTACTTTATGTCTGCTTTTATGTTGTTCATTTTAATAACCACCTGCTTCGATTTTCTGTGTTTTTCAGGTGGAATTGCAGGCGGCATAGAGATCTGCATCACTTTCCCCACAGAGTACGTCAAGACACAGCTGCAACTGGATGAGAAGGCCAATCCACCCAAATACAGAGGAATAGGTGAGTTTGATGTGTGACCAACAAAACTGATGGGATTTATGACTTCCAATTAAAGCTAAGCTGTGAGCACCAGCTTCCATAGTTTTGGCCTGGGTTGTGTCTTATGCAACATAGATCCACATGGTAAGGAACTACGTGAACTCAAAGTTTGAGACTTGGCCATTCTACCAATCACAGAAGGCTCAGTGGCTATCCTTGAAAAATGACACCATGCACAACACAGTTCACTAAAATAAATGATAAAGGGAGCACTGACATCTGCTGTCATCTGGGCTTTGGCTAAAAACAAATCAAATTGGATTAAATGGAGAGGATTATTTAACAGTGTAGTGATAGTGACTAGGGGTATACTCACTTTTGTTGTATGGTGTAAGCTTACTGTATTTTCTCTGTTGCCAATGAGAAGCTGATGAGACGACGAGACATATCTTAGCTTAAGACAAATACTGGAAATGGGGAAACAGCTGCCACCAAAGCTCATAAATTAACAGCTTTCTTGGTGTATCCATCTCTCTATATTCTGTTCCTCGCCCTCTTTCCTTTAGGAGCTCATTATCTAATTATCCATCATCCCCAGGTGTATTTGAGATTCTGTCAAGCTGTCACTGTGCTTGTTTATATGATTTAGAACAGACCAGTGCCCACATGCACACTTGCCAGCCGTGCATACCACTGTATACACACACACACACACACACACACGCCCAGGATCTGTTCATGTTGGCTGAACCTCTGAGGATCGGAGACCATTCTAACGAGTGCCCCAGACAGCTGTTGCATTTCTTGCTCAGCTGTGCACAACACGGATTACTGGACTGATATCTCCAAGAGACATCGGGTTTGGGGGTAAATAGCCTGTGGTACAATTTACCCATGACATAAATGACTGGAACTGCAAAACATTGTGTTGCTTCTGCCTTTTCCTTTTTGTGATGTGCATGTTCCAAAAGTGAAGGGCAGATGCCTACTGAATGACACGGAGAATACATAAAAACTGGTATTTGATATTTAGGAAATGTACCAGTGGATTTTTTAAATTCAGTGAATGTGAAAATTTGAGTACTGTGAATTCAAACTGCAAAATAATGAACTGTATGAAGTCATACATACAGTATAAAGAAGTCATTTTAAACATTCTGTAATATGTGTGTGTGTGTGTGTGTGTGTGTGTTTCTTCCTCCAGGTGACTGTGTGAAACAGACAGTGCAGAGCCACGGTGTCAAGGGACTATACAGAGGACTCAGCTCCCTGCTTTATGGATCCATACCTAAATCTGCAATCAGGTATGTGCAATAATAAGTAGGTGTACAAGACTAGTATATTACTCAAATACCGGTAAAATCTGTGATGTAAAATTCTACCTATGTAAAGTTGCTGTTACATGTGATTTCCACACATTCCAGACTGAAATTAGTTAAGGTTTGTCACCATCATCATATTAAACCATTTTTAATAATAATCTAATTTATTGCTTTTAATTTTTTGTTAGTTTATATTTTCTAATGATCATTTAGCCTATGTTTATATTATAATAATTAGAAAAAGTAAAGTGTATAAGTGTGCAGTAAAGGTTGGAATAAAATGAACACTTCTAGCAAAGCCATCGTGATTTTCTGTCTGGAATCACTAACTCACACACTCCAATTATTCTAGTCCGTTACCCACAATGCAAAGCGTAAATGCCACACTCTAGCCTTTAGTATAATTACGTTATTCTTTCATGGCAGTGACATTTACCTCAAGACAAGTGGTCACACTGTAGTGCATGTACACACACACATATATGCACATATTGCACAAAAGTAAATCAGATGCCTTTATTGTTGTTTGTTTTTTATTTTCTTCTCTTTTTTTTCTTTCTTTGTGTGTGTGTGTGTGTGTGTGTGTGTGTGCATTATGCTGGAGGGTAGAGCCTGTCTGTATGACATTAAGACAGGCCCAGCCAGGCGAAGCAAAGATGCCACTCAAACTCAGACAGGGTCTCAATATGGTTATAGAATGGGAAACGTATTTGTGCTCTGTCAGTGGGTGTGTATATGTTTATGTATAGTGTTTGTTTGTGTGTGTGTGTGTGTGGGGGAGCTGTGTGGGTTTTTGTGCGTGTACAGTATGTGCATATACTGTAATGAGTGTGTCAGTCATCTTTCAGCTCCGTTTCGAGACGGAGTCTGAATGGTTTTGTTTCTGTTGTAAAGAAATGTTTTCTGAGGAGCTCAGTCATGCAGAACAGAAGTGTCCTCTTTCTGCACCTATCATGAGACTACTGAACACTGTATATAAACATGAATGTAAGTGGTGACATCTATATAAAAAAATATAATCTGCTGACTGCACTGATCATTTAGGCGTGTGACCCCCTTTAAAAAAGCTATATTTACCTGCAAGTCATCATTACAATTTACATATTATCTGTGGGTTACCGTATGACCTGTTGTTTTATTTTATATAAAGAGCTGGAAAACTATCCAGTGATCAACAAAAAATTAAAATAATAAGTGATTCAGTACTGTTAAGATAGGAACAGTCGGTTTTGACTTATGGAGAATACCTTTGCACTTTTCCATTGACCACTGCCTTCTCTGAGTCGTTTGTTAGATCCATCCTCTCCTCTCTCTATTGCTACTTTGTCTCGCCAACCCTTTTCCTCCCCATTCCATTAACTGATTGCTTTTTTATCATCATGGTCCAAGCAGACTACTGGCAGCTTGTCAGGGAGGTATGAGAGGAACAGACAAGAGAGCCATTGACCTTTCTTCTCCTTAACCCTTCAAACACACCGCGTTCTCTTGTCTGCCCAGCCCCAGTGATCTCTTCTCTCTCCTTTACCCCCTATTTTTAACAGAAGAAATTACCTCATAGAAGGATCCACTAATGAAGACAGGGCTGTCCAGAGTGACTCATCTCTGACTGTGGATGTTGGCCAAAGTGTGACGTCCCATATTCTCACTGTAAAGTTTAGTCCAATTGCTAAATGGGTATGGAACAATTTGGGTAGTAAATTGGTACAGCAGCAGGCCTGGCAGTGGCATATTTCTCTCCAGCAGGTTTTAATGAATAGCATTTGTTTCACAAGGTTAGTTATTAAGTGCACCACCATCGCTGCACAGTCAAAGCAGCCGGCAGGGAAATAACACTTTTTCATTTTTAACTCTCTCCAATGCCAAAAAGGTTGCTGGTAGTCAGAGACTGGTGTGCGTAAAGAGAGAGACAGGTGGATTTATTTTTATGTTGTTTGTTCCTCTCTGAAAGCAGGAGACGGTTAATTGAGTGGAGCACATCTTTCAAAACAAACTAAATCTGTGCAAGGAGTGAGGCAGAGGAACAGATGTGGAAGGTTAATGAGCAGTGGAAAATCTTCTCATAAATTGGCAGAGAGAGAAGAAAACTAAAATCAAGAGAGGAATTCCATAAGACCTGTGACGACGGCAGGTAAACTGTTCAAGTACACCGAGAAAAGCATTCATCAAGAGCAAGCGTCTGTCCTCCCCCACCCATTTGCTAAATGTCCCAGGCAACCCCCTGCCTTCACCACAATTTAATTCCATCTATAAATAACCTTTAAGGTAAAGGATTTGCTGGCACAACATTTTCTGATCACAGAGATGCATAAAGCACACTTCTCTCTCTCTGGACTTTGTTGTTGGTCACTTGTTGGTGACGGAGTCATTGCAATTTATTGGTGCATCCTTAATAAGGACACAGACAGGACAAAAAACTAAAAGCCTTAAGCACATTCTGCACTTTCAGCACATTACCTCTTCTAAAAATCTGAGTTGGAAGGAAGTTGTTTTTGCCTGGAGGTGCATCTGTGGGCCTGCTTTTATTTGTACTAAATAAGCTATGGAGAAGAAACAAAATTTTATGTCTGCTCAGTTGTCCTCCTGTGCCTGATTTCTGCTAATGAGGGGCAGCATAATAATGCGGCCTCCTTTCCTTTGCTTTAGGTGTGGTGGTAATCTTTCAGTACAAGGAACCTCACTACATTTGCCTGGAATGTCGCCTTTTGTTTGTTTTTACTTTCTGTGTTTATTTCAGCTTTGTTATTAAATACACACACTAAATTTAATAGTCTTGGATTATTAAAATTGCTTTAATCTCCAACAAATAGTAGCAAAGATGCAAAAATCATTGTTATTTGCTTGATTTGCAGCATTTCAGGACACATCTGTGTTAACTTTTCTATAATTCCATGCTTACTTTGTTTTTCTTCTCAGATTTGGGATGTTTGAGTTCCTCAGTAACCGTGCAAAGGATGAGTCTGGTCGACTGGACAGCACCAGGGGCCTGCTGTGTGGGCTTGGAGCTGGGGTGATGGAGGCAGTTTTGATTGTATGTCCCATGGAAACCGTCAAGGTACATTTGATTTGTTAGTGTTTTACTGCACACTAGGTGCCCCGCCAGCTTGAATGTATGTGAAACAGCTTCCCTTTGTGATTTGTGTATCTTGTAAATTCCAGACAATCAGGTATTATGCAGTTAATTGCTATTTTTTTATAACATCTGTTAAAATTTTTGATTTTTTAAAAACAATTTTCAGGACATTACAGCAACAAGTAAGGAATAAAGTAAAAAAAAAACTCTTCTGTGTGTATTATGTAAAGAGATTTAAACATACTTATTGCATGAAAAGCAAATACTTAATCATAGCAGGTACTTATTCCACTACTGTCTTTCTGAATATGCCTGTAAATTGATTTATAGTTTGACCCTGCACCTCCAATGTATTTTTTTCTCAGTAATAGCAAAGTATCTTCTTTTTTTTGGCTGACAACCATCCTGCTCTTTTTTTTAATTTCTCAAGGTTAAATTCATTCATGACCAGACTTCGGCAAACCCCAAATACAAGGGCTTCTTCCAAGGAGTCAGAGAAATAGTCAGAGAACAAGGTAAAGACCAGCTTCAATGCGTTTAATTCATCTGACATCTACTGGTCAGAAAGGGTAGTGCAGCTGAAAACGGTTTAAAAAATTTGGCATCAATTCATGATGATGGTCATTAAAACTGAAACATATGCAGAATTCATCATTTCAATATTTTTGCCTGAACAGGATTAAGAGGGACATACCAGGGTCTCACTGCCACGGTCCTCAAACAAGGATCCAACCAAGCTATTCGGTTCTTTGTGATGACCTCTCTCAAGAACTGGTACAAAGGTCTGCATACATGAAGACTACTTACAAGAACAAAGCTAAGGCTATGGAATAAAGTTACAGTTTAATATAAGGATTGCTATACTGTAAATAGTATTACTACAGTATGGAACAGGGCCACATCTCTTTTTTGTTGTCCAAAGTGGCAGCAGACAAACCTGCAGGATTTTACTAGCTATCCACCCTGTTCAGTAGTTCACTGCACTGAAGCTTAACTCGACTACTCAGACATACTCAACTGTTATGTCCTTTCACTAGGTGATAACCCCAACAAGCCTATTAATCCGTTGGTGACTGGAATCTTTGGAGCCACAGCAGGAGCAGCCAGTGTCTTTGGAAACACCCCCCTAGATGTCGTCAAGACTCGGATGCAGGTACACAATATGAAGACTGTTAAAAAGCACAGGTTCGCTGGTCGTGTGTTAATTTGACCTCACATTTTCTCATTGTTGCCACCTGCTGATTGTCTTTTCTTTTCTTTCCAAAGGGTCTGGAAGCACATAAATATAAAAGTACATTAGATTGTGCTATGAAGATCCTGAGATATGAGGGCGTGGCAGCGTGAGTGCACCTGCATTTTGTTTAGTTTGGCTTTTGTTTGGTAGTTTAGCTTGTCCCCTTTAATCACAATAAGACTTCATTTCTTTCTCATCTTAAGTTATGCTGTTAATCCTGCATGCCACACACTGATAGGACTTTGTCCTTTGTATCAAATGTATGTTTTCACTTTCCACAAAACACACAGAATATAAACTAAATCTATACATCTGTACATGTTTACCTCCTGAAACCTAATGGGACTTTGGTCCAAGTCATCTGTTATGTGTATAACTGAGTGTGTTTTTTAAAGAAAATGCTCATTGTTATTGGAAACCGTCAATCAGAATATTATGACTACATTTTACTGGACTGAAAATCGATGTGTCAACTTACCTATCAATAAATGTACTTTTTCGCTAAACACTGATCTTATATTTGTCCCTCTCTGTGTCTGTTCATCTACAGTTTCTACAAAGGGACAGTTCCTCGGCTGGGCCGGGTGTGTCTGGATGTGGCTATAGTTTTCATCATCTATGAAGAAGTGGTGAAGGTCCTGAATGCGGCCTGGAAGACGAACTGAGCTGCTGGACACACAGAGAAAGTGGTGGCTCCTTTTTTTTTTCAGGCATCAGACACAGATCTGAGTTTAACAGACCTATGTATCATAAAACCAGTTGCTGAGGGATGAGACCGAGAGCTGAACTTAGATCAGTGTCATATGGAAACCAGGAAGTGAAGGAGCTCACTCACAGAGGGGCCACAGAGAAGAAAGCAAACCTGGAAAGACGTTCAATGTCAGCTACATCCAACCAGCTGGAGTGTGTGCAGAGCATCAAGACAAAGTGGGATTATAAGGTTACTATGAAAAAAGATGCTTCATCCTAAATCTGCATCATCAACTGTGAACAAAACCTGATTGCTAGGGTCAACAACATGTTTCTTTCATGGCTGCTTATCAACACTGCAGATATTTCAGCACCTTTTCCAAGTCATTTGGCTCTCTTCTTTTGTAAAGCTGCTGTGTAAAATATTTCTTGCCAGTTACAGCTTTTTTTGCTAATGTTTACTTAAAGTATGCAGGTTTCATACTGGATTGGCTTAAGTTTGTGTTGCTCTCTGTCTCCCCTTTGTGCCTCATATGGTTTTAAACCCAGAGGAGCCAGACATCAGCTATCAGTCATATAAATGCAGCAACTTCCATAACTAAGCCTTTAATTGAAAGATTTTACATTTAGAATATCCCAGTTATTTTTATACAGTATAAATTATAATTTAGTTTATGACCAGCAGTCTTATTATAAAGTATGATGTATTTTATTCCTGTGCCAAATGCAAAACCTGTTATGCTGTGAAAGCATGTTCAGAATAGGAACATGCAACAGCAGCATAAATGATCCTCGCGAGAAAAGAGCAAATATTATTGTGATGTGTAATGTGACATACTTAATAATATACATAATATAAATGTATTTATTGAGAACTGAATGTTAAATATCTAGACCATTGAGAGGCTACTTGCTGTAAACTTGTGCCACTTATGTCAAGTTTTTTCTGTAGTCAGGTCTGGGTGTAAAGGTGTTTTAAAAACAGTACGACAATATTTATTGCTGTAGTTCACTGTGAGTCTAAATGACCAAATGACCCTGAGTCATACAGATAAAGTAACCTCAGACATCTTTTCGGCTTCAGTAGAAGCATTCATGTATCTTCACGCCACGCTCCTACCACTAGGTGGTCATTAGTCTTTGGTGGAACTTCTCATATATGTAACTTGTGATGAAGAGTCACAAGTAGGCAATGCTCCATTTACTATAAAGAGGTCACCCACCAAAACAGGCTGGGAATCAGTCTATTCAAATCCATTTCCATTTCCAGTGCTGCTCTGTTTTGATGACATGTTTAATTCAGGGTTTGTTTTTACTTCTCACTCGTGTGCCTTTTGCCTTTGTGTTGATAAATTCAACTTGAAAAATATTATTGACCTGTCAGACTCTTCTTCTTACCTTATCTTATCATCTTACCAGAAATCTGAGGTTTCTGTCATTCAGCCATATTGTTCTCACAACCTCTTTGAGACGTCACTAGTGACATGAAAACAGACAGTAATCTGTTTGTCTTACTGCAATGATTGTATTAAAATACTGGTGAATTGTACTTTATTTCCTGTATCCCTGACTGCTGAATAGCCAAGAGAAAATGTCAATGTTATAACACATCAGTGTATTCCCCTGTGTGTGTGTAGAAGAAATGATGAAGGTTGTTTAATAAATGCCGTCCCCTCCCCTTGTCTGTGCTTAATGTAAAGCTCTGTCTTGTAGGGGGACTTAAACTCAATAAAACAAGCATTTGAAAGCTGGCAGACTTTTATTATTATTGTAGTTTTTTAATTTTCTCCTCCCTCACTCTTCCGTCTGTTGTGCTGGCTTTTTGGTTACAACAAATCACACTGGGACAAACCGTGGGGGGCAGGTAGGAGAGGAATCAAACAGGGAACTCATTGTTCCAGTTTTGGCTGACGCTCATGTAGCGTGATTCAACTATCCCTCTTTTTTTTCTGCCTTAGTCTCTTTCTTGTCCACACATGCACTTCAAATTTCTCATCATGAAAGATAAACCTTCTACATTTCATCAACTTTTATTTATTGATTATATTTAGTTTTATATAAATCTAAAGTAAGTGGTGACTAAAGCTTTAAAATAAATATAGAGGAGTTAAAAGTACAATACTTGCCTTTTAAATAAATGGCTGACTCAGCATCCACACAATTAATATAGGCTGATTTTATTTAGAATATACCTAAAACCTTGCCCCCAAAATCTATTTTCATAATGTGTTGAAGCCTCTACACACCAGTAGTCCCACTGCTGAGATCTTCCCAGGACTGTTTTATCCAACTAAAGAGGCCTATTTGGTTTTACTATCATGACAAAAACCATCACGGCAAACACCACTGGCCAGGATGGAAACAGCTAATGTTGCAACTGCAAATCCATTTTTAATGAAAAAGAATGACTGAAACAAACTGACCAGAGTTTGACAGAGCAGTGAACAGCAGCCTGTTTGTGGTCAGACAATGTGGACAAGGCCTGTACCTTTAATAAATGGGGTTCCCTGCCCTTGCTGTTACATAACAACCAGCACAACACAGCCTGATTGGGACAGGAAGTGGGTCAATGGGTGGTCCCACAGACCAATTATCCAATCAACAATAAGGGCCATGTGGAGTGGGCGGGGCCACAAGTGTTTTTGAACTGTGAGAGCTACTGGTGCAGTTGTTTGTTGAGTCTGTAATTTTGGTCCGAGCTTTGGATTTTGATTCAAATACCTTGGTTTGGCACCAGGAAGGTAGCAAAAATATTCAAAGGCAAAAACAAACTGAGGGAAGTCGCTTAGAAATTGTGCTCAACTTAGTGCTGTGTGGTGCTTGCAGGAAAATGAACCTCAGAGTATTCAGTAAGGCCCAGAGCGTTTTCTTTAAGAAAAACTGTTTGTATTAATGGTTATTTAACTCATAATCGTTTGCTTCCTCCTGCTACAGGTGTGTGACGTCGACACACAAGCAGTGTGAACTGGCTGAGTAGAAAGTGTGATGTGATGTGATGTGATGTGATGTGATGTGATGTGATGGTTAGTTCAGGGACAAAATAAGCTATTAATTCTCTGTTCTTTAATGCTCAATTTTAATAAATCTTTAATGTAATTTTTAAATTTGATAATTTAAATCTAATTCAATAATCCATTTAAATTCAAAGGGGCTTTACTGGCATGAAGGTTTTTAACAATGTAGCTAAAATTACAATCAAATTATAATTTGTTTATAGGTACTTAATTATTTGTAAAGTTTAAAATGTATAATTTTAAAGTGTGCTTGTATGTCTGTCACTCACTGTCCCCCATGTTGTGGTATATTGATATGCAACAAGCAAGCACAATTTATTTATATAGCACCTTTCTAAACCTGAGTTACAAGGTACTTTACAGTAAAACAGAAAAAAAAAATAGATAAAACCAGATAAATCGCACCTACACAATAAAATAACGGCAAAAATGCACAATCAAAAACAAATACATTAATCAGAGATGTTTTTAAAGGCCTGTGACTACAAGTGATTTTTAAGGAGTGATCCAAAAACAGTCAGGTTTGGAGAAGATGTAATATCCCACAGACCATTCCACCGTATAGGAGCCGGTACTGAAAAAGCTCAGTCTCCCCAGTGTTTCAGTTTAGACTTAAGTACATCTAGGAACAACAGATTGGAAGACCCAAATGTCCTCTCTGGAGCATAAAAATGTACAAGATCAGCAATATATGAAGGTGCCAGACCATGCGCGGCTTTATAAACACTCATCCACAATTTAAAATCAATCCTAAAGTAAACAGGAAGCTAATGAACTGATGCAAGAACTGGGGTTATATACTCATGATGTTGTGCATTACTCAGAAGATGAGCAGCTCCATTTTGGACCAACTGAAGCCGAGATAATGAAGCTTGAGGAATACCAGTATATAGTGTTACAATAATCAAATCTAAAACTAATAAAGGCATGAACTGCCTTTTCAGAATCACTAAAATAGAGAAAGTGTTTAACCTTAGCCGGTAGTCTCAACTGAAAGAAGCTGGCATTGACCACAGATTTTATCTGTTCATCCAGCTTAAGAGCACTATCAAATACCACCCCAAGATTCTTCACATGAGGCCTTAGATAAGTGGCCAAAGAGCTAGTCATATCAGAATTAATAAAAGCAGAGTTACCAATTAAAATGCATTCTGTCTTACTTTCATTAGTATGTAAGACGTTATGTGATAACGATGCTTTTAAAGTCTCTCAGGCAATCCAGGGGTCTGTAATGGGTTGCTCTTCTTGACATTCAACAGGAAAGGCCCTTCCTCCATCTCCTAGGAGTATTTTTAATTGAGATCTAATTCTTTGAATCCTGACACTATAGAGTAAAACATTTCAATATAAATGTCTTTCCTTTTTATAACACTGAAGGAGTAAGTGTATCTCTGTCTGTTGCAATGAATTTGTTTCCTATTCCATGACATGTGGCCTGTAGATTTGGAATCATAAGTCAGTTATTTTTACTTTATTGTGGGTTCCCTCGTCAGACCCCCCCACCCCAGTCCCCATGCCTGCACTAGTTTATTCATTAGAGAGGTCTTGTTGAAGTTCTGTTCTGTACTCAAGTCCTGAGTTTACTGTGACATCTGAGCTCAAGTGTTTAGTTCAGGTGTTTTTGACAGCCCTCCATGCAACTCTCTTTCCAACATGGCTGCTCTGTCATGACTATTTAGTTTTTATGTGTCGTCCAATCGAAAGTGGCCATCTGTGAATAGATTTGTGTAATAGGCATAGATCTAGGCTGCCAGGCATATAAAACTCTTAGGAGCTTTATCCTGGGAGTTTAATCTGCAGTGCCTGTCTATACCTATCACTTGCTCCCGTGCCGTCCGTTCGTCGCCATTTGAATTTATTTTGATGACGTTGATCTACAAAAGGTACATGGTTTTTCTTTCTTCTCTAACCTGGTTGTCTTTCCTGTAGGTGGTTGTTGTACCACATCAATTTTATTTATATTTTCTTGAAGACATTTCACCACTGCGCGTCTGTCCGTTAGTCTAAGTTGGCCACCGGTCTGTCGGTTGTTACATCAAGCATCGGGTCATGACAACAAAGATCTACAAAAGGTACGTGGCTTTTCCTTATTCTCTAACCTGGTTGGCTTCCCCCTAGATGGCCGCTGCGCCACAATGATTTTATTTTTGTCGTGGATATCAATGAGGCGCGTTGATCTAAAAGATAAGTGTCAGATCTCTTTCTCTCTTCTTCTCTTTTTCTTTGTCTCTTTCTCTTTTTCTCTCTCCTTCTCTCACACTCTAAACAATGACCCTAGTATCATGACTATTTCTGGCTAATCTGCTTGAATGTGTATTATCACAATAACACTTTGCTTTTCAGGAAATCAACAAAACTGTATGTCTCATTTTTATTATTTTTCCTTGTCACGGCAAACACGTTCCATTTGTGTTGTGCCCTTAGAGTGGGAATAGTGGAGGGATAAGAAGCAGTACACCTCTTACTCCCACTCATCTGTATTTGAGCTTTAAATTTTTAGATTAACAAACTTGCATTTCTTGTTCTCAGTGAATACACCTAGTTTCAGGACCATGCTGGTAGTCAAAAACCATTTATCCTGTCACATTAACAAGGGTATTTTCTGATTCCTCACAATTTATGCTGCCATTTTCATGTATAATCTGTGTGCGGAAGCTTTAGGTTGGCAGAATAAGAGCAGAAAACAAGCTGAACATTTAAAACAGTAGGGGGCACTGCTGCTTAAACACACCTGGCAATCTCTCCCTCTGGCACATGCCTCCTCTCTCTTCATATTTGTAGAATAGGGCTTTATAAGGATGGTCAAAGTCATTTTGTGTAGTCTACATTCCTACAGTGAAGTGATGGCTTAAAGTCTGAATAACCAACAGGCCTCTAAACAGTAACAAGACCAAATGTTATCCCTATAACAGATCAAATATAGTAGGACAGATCTTTGCTTATCCGGTACAAGGTGGATATGTGTACAAAGCCTTTAGAGCAGCATTTTCCCACTAGCCCATGATATTTTTATTGCAACTGGAACCTAGATTTCTATTCCACAGACAGTAGTGGAGGTTACCTTGCTTCTTTCCATTCTTAAAAAGTTTTTACAGTATCGCCCCTTCCTCACTTTTTCCATTCACATAGAACCAGTGAAGGGTAAATAATATTGTTCTGTCTTTCAATAGGGTGGTTGCTGCAGCTCAGAAAGGACCTCGCCACTTCCCCCAGTGTCTATAGACTAAATCTTATTTTCAATTCAGGTCTTTTATTTACAGATTCACGATATATAAAGTTGCTGCACCGCTGTCCGTGGTACTGAATTCGAATTTTTGATTGAGAGCCACAACTTATATAGGCGGTTTTAGACGCTTCTCATATGCTTTAGTATGCCAGTAATGAAAAAGACGTGAAACTCACTTTTCTTTATTTACAGTATCTGTACATTCATTGAAATGTTTTCGTTTCAAGCATTGTTGCAACCGTGCAAGTCACTATAAATACGTTTAATTTAGATTCATATCGTTTGTTTTGGCAGTCTTTCCCAAAAGTGAACGCCTTCTTGATTTGCCTCTCCCTTGAACCTTGGCAACAGTAGCGGTCCAGCATGAGCGAGAGAGCGAGAGATAGAGAGAGAGAGAGAGAGAGAGAGACAGCGAGAGAGAGAGAGAGCGAGAGACCTAATAATCACCGTAGCTCTAAGGGGCGGCGCCCGATAAGCGGATAGGGGAGAGCTGGTGCGCACACAGGCTCCGCTTTTACGCATCACTTGCTCATGTAGATGTAAATGTGCAGAATCTACCTCGTCCTCCTTGTACGTAGGACCATGTTATGTTTGGATTTTATATAGAAAAAATACCATCGTGTCTTTCAGTTTTAAACACCATCCATAGTGAAGCATACATCAGTGTGTATCAGTATAGATCACTGAAAAGTTTCCGTCATGGGAGCGCATGGATGGAGCTTCGCGCGTCTTGGGTTTGTCGTCTGTGGATATTTAGCATTTTTCTGCGGGGAAATTGTTCCACAAGCTGAAGCGGGCTGTAGGGAGAGAGAGAGCCCAAACTGCTGCACCGGCCGGAATAATGAATGTTTTGAGTATACCAAGAGAAAAACTGTGTGCTACTGTGATGCCTATTGTCAGAAGACCAGAGACTGCTGTGAGGACTATCAGCGCGTCTGCCAAGTATCTGGTGGGTTGCTTGTTCTCTCATGGTCACTGAAATTTGACTCATAACTTTGTATTGATGCTTTTGAGACTTGAAAGTTTATAGTTTGAAGAAAATAAACGTTTCCACTGTGTAGATTTTGTGTTGATTCAACCATGTCCTGTCCCTGTTGTCTAGTTTGAGCCAGAGATGCCTGGCACAGAGGTGGCATGGAGACAGTGAGACATACTACACCTAACTCTTTCTATGCACCCATTGTGGCTGTGTGTTTTATGTGACTAGCCAGAGGAGACTTGGAGGGGTCTCTCTGGTCTTGTGTTTTTCAACAGCAGCATACGTGTATGCATTTTAGGTTGGGGGACTGACCTTTGGCCTTCACATCAAAGCTTCAAATTACAAAACCTGGCCATTAAGTACTTGGAAAGTGGAATGAGTGATCATAATAAAGTCACAAATCAGTTGGGGAAATTTTCTCCTCAACAACAGAATAATAACCTCACTTTGGGGCAACTGTGATTCAGTGGATAGAGCGGTAATCTCCCAACCAAAGGGTTGGAGGTTCGAATCACAGTGCCTGCAGTCCACACATCGAAGTGTCCTTGGGCAAGACACTGAACCCCCAAGTTGCCCCCCATGGTTAGAGCCATTGGTTGAGTTGGCGCCGCAGATGGCTGCCACGGTTCTGTACCTGAAACAAATTCCTTGTGTGTGACATACAAACTTAGCCAAATACAGGTTATTATCCTTTGAAATATGAGATCAAGTTTAACTGTTAAATGTGAGTTTAATAATAATAATAATCACCTTTATTTGGCCAAGTAGGTTATACACAAGGAATTTGTTTCCGGTACAGAACCAGAACCTTCTTCTAAGTAACCTCTTCTCTTCCCTCATCATCCTGGCTGCTGCTATATAAGGAAAAACGAGGGAAATGATACCATGGGAACAGACTGCCAAAGATGGTCAGGGTTACAGGAGAACTGTGTCTGAGATGTGACAGACAGGAACCATTTTACCTTGTAACTGAAGCAGCTCTTAATAGTCAGTATGTTGAAACGTCTTAAGTTCATGAGGACTGAGTGTCTGTGTATAAACACTCTCAAAATGTGACTCTTGTCTTAAGTGCACACTAAGAAACACCTGTGGGGACAATGCAACAAGTCAAAAAGCACTTAAAAATGTTGCAGCAATCTCTCTTTTTAGGCACATTTAGTGAGTCTTTGTTTGAGGGCTGTGTCTGTGTGTTGATGTGACCAGGTTGCTGTATCCAGATCAGAGTCAACCACTTTAAAGGTGTGTACAAATCTACAGCAATGGAAGCAGTAGTACACTTCTTTTGACAACATTGTTTACTACAAAAATAGCTGAACTGCCTGTATTTTGCACATTTTAATCAATTTACTTCAGTACTTGTATATTTAACCTTACAATCACCATTTTGTAACATACAGTACTTACTTTTACTTAATGAGTGTCTGGGTGCATTTTTACACCCTGAGGATCCCATAAAAGTTCAAACTCAGTAAAATAGAACTTGAATTTGTAGAATCTTTAAAGTTCCTCGATACCAGTGATCCATCTCAGTAAGCATCATGTCTGCTTTTATTTTAGTTAAAGTGGTGTAATTGTGGTCTGTCTGGTCACATATTACAGCCTTTTCTAACCAAGCTATGAATTCAGCTGCATGAAGCTAAACTGTATGTGGCTATTAATAACTAAAACTTATACATATAGATAGCTCAAATCTCAGTTTGAGTTTTAACCCACCAATCAGCCAGAGGCATGTAGAGACAGGATTTATCACCCAGCAGCCACCTGAGTGGAATCCAGCCATCACTTGATCCATCCCATGCATCTGCCAAATTGTAACCTAATAGAATTCACACAGGAAAGCACCTTGTGTCTGTGTTGAGTCTTCACTGTAGTGTTTAACAGCAGCTGGTCCCTCGGAGGTAAGCTAGCGGCTGCTATGCACATAAGTTCACTTGTATGATGAGGATTTTTAGCACAGTGGAGCTCTGATCTGAAGAAAAGAAAGTGATGGAGGTGTTATATGTTGGACAGTGTTTTTTTTTTTTCTCAGATGAACATGATTACTGAGCAAAATAACTAAGTCAAGACATGTCTGCTGAATATTCAGTTTTTGGTAGAAAAAGATGACTCTTAACATGAGTGTCAACCTTAGTGGATCAGTGAGCTTTGAGTGATGGTGAGGAAAAAACACCATGACTTCCTCCCCTGTGCAACCTGAGTATCTTGACAGTATAAACACGGCATGTATTTTGTGGCTTGGCTCCATCAAAGCACCCTGATATTTTCTCACCCACATTACTCTCTGACTTTATCTGATCCTGATTGTGCAGCTCTGCAACACACCAAGGAATTTGTCACAGTCTGTAATTAACTCATGTAAGCTGTAGCTGAGCAAGCAGCTCAAAGTGGGTGACATCAGGAGAGACAGAAAGGGCAGCAGACTGTTTCCACTGCTTGGACACACTTAACTCCTCAGACAGGTTCTAATGAAGTATTTGACACAAATGTGTGCTTTACATAAACAGTATGAAGCAATAGAACTGTGCTCCTGGATATGTTTGAAGCTAGGAATGAATCGCAAAGTTGCACAGCTTATATATGGCAAAGCTAGGAATGAATTGCAAAGTTGCACAGCTTATATATGGCAAGCTGACACTGTTTTGTCATCTTATCATCTAAACCACTTTGCAACACTTGCTAATTGGCTTCATCTTCGGTATTTCCTTTTAAACATTCATGGGCATAAGTATTGTTGAAGAGGCAGAGAAGATGCCTATTTCTGTATTGACAGAAGCATCACTACAGCACAATGACTTGCAGCCTTAAGATGTTGCATCTTCCTTAAAGCATGGGAGATGTCACTCGTCTTCATAGACTCTAGAGATCAAATTGGCCCAAAGGAGGATGGAGAGGGCCGCTCCTCTCTTTTCCTGCAATGGAGCCTGGTAGTTCTAATTTTAACAGAGACACAAATTGTAGCCTCTGCCTCAGATTTACCAGCGGTTTCTCAACTCTCAGCCGTCTCTCCTTCAGGCACTCCTGCTCTTCTTCATTTCCTCACTGCATGTTGTCACAGCAAAGTGTTTGCTTCTTTCCAACTTTGTTCACTCCCTCTCTTCCTCCCTTGCTTCCCACATGTTCTTTAATGTTAACCTCATTGAGTAGTTAATGTTTTTAAACAGGGCAGCTGTTGCAGTTTACCATCAAGTCTCTCCTGGCACTTGCATACTGCACAGACCGTGATAAACGTTCCTGGTTGCAAATTTGATGTCCTCCATCTGGCTTCATTGCAGCCAGAAAACAATGTTCTAGATATTATATTTTGACCTTGAACTGTGTCATCAGTTATCAAATGAAATATGCCTTTAATAGAAAGGATCAGTTGCAAGGAAAACTATTCACATCAGGTCTGTGGATTATCCAGACTGACAGGAACATTTGAATATCAGCTTTGAATGCTGGACAAGCAAAACCTGGACAAATTAAATAAAAAATGATCTGTATGGTAAGATAATACTAATGACAACCTACAAGTTGTTCATTGGCTAAAATTCAAACCCAGAATGGCTGTGCACATTTTTATTCCTTCTTCAAGTTGTTTTCTATCTCAAAGCAGATGCAGTCTAGATGAGCAAGTTTCCTCATCAGAGCACCCACTTTTGCTGTTTTCATTCTTCAGATGTTGCCACAACTTTGTGACTTATTCTTATTCTGAAGTGAAGGTCACTTTGTCTGAAGGGAAGCAGGTGAACCTTCCACTGTCAAGACCACATCACCTTATTTCTTTTTCTTGCTTCGTTATCTTTGATGTTTTATTGCTATGACGAAGTGGAGTCAGAACTGATACACTGAGTGTCAAGTCTAGTGTCAACATCCTTAGGCTATAATAAAGTGTTAGGACGCCATGCAATACAACTACTTAGGTCCTGCGGTTTTAACAGTAAACCCATTTCAGCTGTGTGTGTGTTTATAACCCTTTAAATTAGCTGGTTTGTTTGGATCCTCCTTTCATGGTGTCTACAGGAAACATTTGTGTGCTAACGTCTTATTAGGGCTCAGTCCTGTTCAGCCCTATTCACGGGCTTATGGTTCTCCCTTGTTTCCAAACATTATAGTTTTTGTCTTTCTGATGTGACCAAGGCCCAGTTCTTTGCATGAGAGGGTGGGCAGTTGCAGGGGCTTTCGGGGGGGAGTGAAAAAAGGACCCCAAAAAAGGAGACAGATGGGGGAGAAAGAACAAGGGACACTGTGAAACAAAGTGATAAAGGGACAAAAAGATAAAACAAATTGGACAGGCAGGTCTGACAGCTCTTTTGTTATGAAACCCTAAAATGGAAGCAGAATTCAGGGAGAGTGAAAGAATAAAGCAAAGGAAAGCCAGTCTGAAAAGCATTACACTATTATTTCACCATAACATGTCTGATTGGAGATTAGCTGACAAGTCTGGAGATAAAAGTGCTGATGTTGGTCACATGTTCAGTGGTTTGGTTCAGTTAGTGGCGTTTGTTTGAAGCTCTGTCAGCTGCCAGGAAAAATGGGCAAACCGACAACCTCTATAACTTTTTTCTTTTTCTTTTTTTGTTGTTTTGAATTTAGCTGCTTTTTAAAAAAAAATGTTTAAACACTGTGTAAACCATCCTATCCACATTAAACCATCCTATCCACATCTTCAAAGCCCCAGAAAACTTGGCATCAAACCTTAAACATTTGGTGTAAGTGTGGCTTGATGTAATTGAATTCATCTTGGCAGAAAAGTTCCTTTAGGATACATTTAAAGTAAACTGAGTGAAAAAATACATTTTCAGTCAGGTTAATAGATTCTGTAGCTGATACAATTTCTTTCTTTTTTAATTATTTATTTATATTTTACTTTTTTCTACTGGTCAAGCAGTAAATATGTTCACTTTTACTGTGTGGGTCAGGCTGCATCAGACTGTGAGAAGAGTGATCTTGTGGGTAACGGTACTGTCACACTGCTGGGACCAGAAACAGAGCTGGTGACCACCACAGTTTGGTAATTACTTTTTGACCTTTTGTGACTAGGAGACAACAGACCGGACCTTCCAGACAAGGCCTTAGGCTTGTTTATATTAGTCAGAGTAGTATTAGCTCTGTTTCCCCCTCAGTTTCTTTGAACACCCTCTACAACGATGATCTCAGCTGTCCTGCTTAGTCTTGTTTTTCCCACTATGAGAAAGCAAAACAACATAAAAACTACTGCTGTGAACGTCAGAGGATGTTGAAGAGGGAAGGAAAGGCGAGGAGCCAGGAGTAGGGATAAGAAAAGGAGGAGGAGGCAAGAGAAGGAAGTTGATATGGCCGTAGTGTCTGATTCTTTCAAGAAACTTCATGTCACTCTACACAGGAAAATGTGTATGTCTGTGTGTTTTGGAGCAACAATAACTGAGGGTGGAACAAGTCCAAGTGGGTGAGTTTATCAAACGGAAACCATTGTGTGTGTGTGTGTGTGTGTGTGTGTGTGTGTGTGTTTATCTGGGAAAGGCGAGTGTCAGGCGCGCCGCACA